TAAAATGAGAGCATCTTTAAACTTGAGGAGAGCTCTCCTCTCTGTCTCCACACACTTGTTAATATGGAAACTTTCCGCACATAACAAACTGATGCATAGAATTGCTACCATACAATGAAGCATTTTGTTCTACTCAACTCCGTTCAAAATATTTTGGGATGTTTAAAACAAAATATAGTAGTCAATTGAATTGTGATGTGGAATAATGATAAACAAGGTGCATATTAATTTATAGACACTGAAATAACACATATACATATATTACTGAAAATAACATATCTAGCTAATTTCTTGCTTGTTTCTTCATCTTTATCAATCTAAAAATTTGAATATTAATAGTAAATCCTGAAAACTACCTCATAGTTACCACCTGGATTTCTTCCGTTCAGAGGTTTAAATTATTTTTTTGTACATATGGTTAATAGAGGAGTAAATTAGTAATTTCAATTTTGAACTAGTAACTAATAGTAACTATTTCTGTTTAGTTTGTAGTTGTTTGAATTAGTTACACTAAGATTACACTTTCCTGAAATAAAAGGGAAGATTCATTCAATTTATTAATTTAACTTTTGAAATAGTAAAATCAAAGATGAGTAGTTGTATAAAATTGTAGTGTAACAGGAAGCTTATAAAATAGTAAAATCAAAGATGAGTACTTGTATAAAATAGGAGAGTAACAGGAATTGTATAAAATTGTAGTGTAGGCTTTTATGGATGAGTACTTGTTGAATGAACAAACTTTATGAACTGCTACAATTATCATATATCTTATTGTTTCAGGAAACTTATTGGAATGTCCTAATTATTATATTGTGTTGTACAAATATGATTATGTGAATCGTCTAACACAGGCCACCCAAAATGATAATAATGTGGATGGGTCGGGAAAGCTATAATTATGGAAAGAAGTTGTCGGCGGTAAGTCACGAGGCCGATGTTATGGAACTTCCTGAATGGCAGTCAACATACAATATGGAGTGTCTTACTTGACACAGGTGACCATTTCAAACTCGGATAGAGAAGCGGAGAACCAAGTCATTAAGATGGCTAGAGCTGAGGCTTCTAAAGCACGTGAAGAAGTTGCATTAGCTAATGCGCGTGCAGACGAAGCGAATGCGGATGCAAGAGAAGCTATGGCTGAGACAACAGAATTGAAAAGGAAATTTGAAGAATTTCAGAAACAACGGTTTGCTTGGCAGTCGGGTCAGGTGGGTACTTCCATTGTTCCTTCTAGTGTCCATCCTAGTGCTAGTGATCATTATGATGATGACTCTGATGGTCAGTCATTGGATCTAGAGGGAATGAGTGATGGATGTTGACATTGTCTTTTTCTTAGTTTTAGAACTTGTTTTGTGGATATTCACTAGTTTGATATTTTGTGTTGGTATTTTGATGTAACTTTGACATCTTTATGTAACAACATTGTGGATGGGAACTAGTTTGATATATTGTGTCAATATTTTGATGTAACTGCGACATGTTAATTAATGTAGCAATATCGTAGATTTTTGGAAGTTTGTTATCTTGTGTTGAAGTTTTTGTGATAATATATCAATGAATAGTTTGAATTACAAAAACAAGTTTAAATGTCAAGTAGAATTAATTTGGATTTAAACAGGTATAAATATTTTAAAACAGAACTGCCAGAGTAAATAAATAATAGCGTCGGCTAAAACCGACGCTTCTAAACAGCATAATAGACCATTAGCGTCGACTTAGAGCTACACTACATTGCACGACTTTAGCTATGTAGCGTTCTTTATGACCTACGCTGGACCTTAAGAATAGTGGCCCACATAACCGACGCTAATACATTGAAGACAATATTTAAGTGACCCTATAAACCGACGCTATTTGGGAAAAAGTATTATAGTGGCCTTTTAAATCGCCACTAAATAAATGTTAATGTCGACAACAATCGACGCTAAATGAAAACAATTATGTAATGTATCATCAGTTTTGATAGCGTCCCTTTAGCATTGTCGTAGTCGACGCTACCTGTAGCAAAGGCTGGCCGTTATGGTTTGCTTCCACCTTTAGCATGTCCGCCCCAACCCCGATGCCAAGTCGATGCTAAAGGCATTTAGCGTCGGTCTTTTGCTTGTTAGAGATGGTTTTTGGCCGACGCTAAAACACAAGTTTCTTGTAGTGCATCATAGTACTTCTCTAACACATCTCATGTTTTCTTTAATTTGGTGGCCTTTGAGATCTTCTGAAAGTGGTAAGAATCTACATTATATTGAATATAGAGCAAAACTTTGGAGTCATTCTTTCTTGATTCTTTGAAGGTGGTTCTTTAATCATCAGTGGAATCTACAATTAATGCTTCACACCCTTCTTGCATGATTTCAAGCACATATTATGCTCCAATTAATTATTTTATTAAGTCAATCCACCTTTCTCAATTACTTCTATCAAGAATCAACATATTGGTTGAGAAACCACCATTTACATTCATTTTTTTTGTTTCAAGAAACCTCTATAACTCATCTTCACTCTTTGTTTTTCACTATTTTCGTTACACTTCGCTCGTATTTCCCTTATGAATCGACACCAACCCACTTTAACGTCAGAACTTGACTCTAGATGTCAATTAATGACGCATCAAAGTTGTTACTTGCAAAGATACACAAACTTTTAAATATTGTATTATATAAAATGCATAGAGATGATTGATTTTTTAGATGCTTGTGACTCAAGTAACTTAGTTGAGTCACAAACTAACCAACTTAACTAACTATCTAACCAACTTCTTGTTAGTTATAACTCACATTTATAATTATTACATCAAATTTTATGTATTAATGTAACCAAATTGTTAATATTTGTAAATCTACAACTTTTTTAAAAATAATTAAAATTTTAAAATATCAATACATTTGAATAAAAGCCAAACCAATAAATTTATTATCGATTTAATTTAACTCTTGTGAAAAAATTACATAAATCAAACTAAACCGACAATTCTTTTATTAATTCGAAATTTTCTTTTTCAAAAATAAAAACAGAAAACTTACACCCCTTTTGTACTTCCTATTCTTCATATCGCAATAAGTAAAACAGGTAAAGAAGATCGCTAACTATAATTAATAAAGTGTACATTTGAAACCAAACTTACATCTTTCATGTTTTTTAATGAAACCAAGAAATATATATATAATTTCAAAAGATGTTTGAATATAAGACACGCCGAGACATACCGATGGTTATATAATGATCTTAATCAACAAAACATAATCCTTTATGAGATGCCATTGATAACCAAACCTTTATAAGGAAGAACTCTCCATTTTAACCACATTTTCCTGCAACAACATTATATAAGTGAATTATGTCATTTACTATGTTATGCAAAATCACTTATTTAATTACCACTACATAAAAGCTGCCAAAAGAATAGTTTTCATTTCATACTTTAATAAAAAAAAAAAACTATATGAAAACCCTAACTTTGTACCAACCATCTATACCACAGAGAAGAGGCCAAACATGCATGTTTCCTGTAACAATGTCAAGTGAAATATGCAGGATTGTTTTGACAAGTTTGAGTATAATTATATCTTAATTAATTGAAACCAAGAACTTTGTACCTTCAAATAGTCCATATTTATTAATTAATATCTCTATACAAAACACAAAACGTGTCAATTTCGTTTGAATTAAATTAATTAAACACCGACAAAACATGTGAGATGCAGGAAGCACAAAGCTCAAGTATTCGCCTAACCAAACAAAAATAATTGTTTCTTTCCAAAGTACCTAAAAATCATATAGTATATATTTTCAAACATTAAAACAAAACATAGTACATATTTTTGACGAATTAGAGAAGACATGATATAATCAAGGTACATGCATGCATGGTGGTGAAACAAAACAAAACATATATAGCTAGTGGAGAAAAGAAAAATAATTAGTACTACATCAAATCACCACTTGCAAGGATCTTGTTCACAAAAGATAGTTATAAGTAGGGTATACTAGAGAATTCAGGATGGTGGAGAATATTATATTACCATCAGGTTTCTCCAACATTTGTCTGAAAGATTCCATTCAATCATGAATACTAATTTTTTTACTCTTTCAAATTTATTTTTTAACTTATAGCTCAAATAGGCTGAGTCAGTTAATCCCTTAACAAATTATATAATTAATTTCATGAGGTGTTTGTTTGTAACAATTAGTCACATGAAACTAGAGAATGTCTGATAAAATCTGATTAGTTTATAGAAGGCCAAAATTAGGAGAAATTAGTAAATATGAAAATAATAGTTAAATGATTCAATTATATGGCATACAAATGATGATGTTGTGATATTAATCACTTATGTCGTTATTGGAGAGATTGATATCTTTCCAATCTTAATCACTACAATCATCTCAAGTTAGTTTGCTGTCTAATAATAAATACACAAGAGTGACATAATGAGTATGGATTATATATTATTTGTATATTGGTGTAAAAGTTTTTATATCGTGGATCAATCACAATTGTGAGATCTTTAAAAATATTTAATTTTAATTAAAAATATTAATGATAAAAATTTCTAAAACTTAAAGATCCAAGAGTATTAGAAAAACTTTAACAGCAAAAAAAAAACAAAATCAAAATCAAAATTCTACCGAAGAAAAGAAATTTTGATATCGCATATCCAAGTCAAACCAACTAAAACATGAGAAGATAAATGAAATTTTGATGTGTAGCAACTCTATCCTAAAGTAACCACTATAATAGTAGCTAAAATTATTTAGTCTCTTAATATGATTTTAATTATAGATATTCTTAAGGCCTTTCACTTATACATATGTGATATAAACTCCATTATCTAGCGAAGTGGTTTGAGTTTGATTCATATTCATACTTAAAAGAAATTAGGTTATGATATATATATATTTAAATCTTGATGCTAATGGCCAGAAAGAAATTAAGCAAGCTAATTCAGAGTAATGACAAAGTTGATAATGTAAATATGAATTATTACCATTAGCAAGAGTAATATTCAAGAAAAGTTCATAGTAGTAGAGCTTGATTCTTCACTTCCCTTGCTTTGACTTGATCCTTTCTTTTTCTTCTTGTAAGGTATACCTCTAGCCTTAGCTTGACACTCTCTGATCTCCCTAAGATAAACCCTAATAGAACCAGTAGCAAAAGGGTTAGTATCAGGAGACCCACCATTTTCTTCATAAGCAGCTCTAAGTCTACCAATAAGAGCATCCAAGCTTCCCCAAGCTTGTCTAAGAGGACAAGTACAAGGTGCAGGTGGTTCTGGTTGTCCATAAAACATGCAACCTTGTAAATGAACCTTAGTTTTTCCAAACTGGTCTAAGTAACGAAGAAAATCCAACACATGGTTAGAATTGCACTGTGAAAGTGGAACAGGTGGTCTCATGTTGTTCAAGTATTGACCAAAAGTGTTCCAGTCTCTTCTCTTTTGAGATTCATAGCGGCTCAGTGTTGGGATGCTTGGTGATTCTTGTTCCATATTCTTACCTTCAATGTTGCTACCACTTAAAGACATGTTGTGTGTTGATGAATGTTGAATAATGAGGTTGAGTGGTTTGGTTTTTCTTTTTAAATAATAGTATAATAATAATAATAATAAAGCCTAGAAAAAAGAGATGTGAAAGGTGAAAGAAATAGGTGGAGGAGAGATTGAAGGAAGATTGATGGAGTGATTGAATATATAGAGATCACTTCATTGGGCTCTTGACTAGACATTTTATGGGCCATAATAGTTTTTTTCTTCTTCATATTTATATATTTTTTGTTTAATTTTCTTTTTTCATTAAAACAATGTACGGAAAATAAACAAATATTGTATTGCTATTTAAAATTAGACCGAATTTGATTCTTAGTAGAACAAGACTTAATTAGTGAATTATCCTTGTGAATTACAAAACTAGATTATCTGATTTACTATTTAAATCAGAATTGATTGACTAAATCAAAAATAAAAAAATGAAAAAGGAGGTGACGTTCTATTTTAGAATATAATTTATATATAACAAACAAGTTTGTCACATAATTTATATAACATTTCAAAACTAATTAGTGATATAAATGACAACATATTAAAATTACTCTCCTAGTCCAAGTGGGTTAATATCTATTAATAGGTATCGTTCCTTGGATATATATAGGTTTAGTTTTTCTAATTGTTGGGGATGTGTAAATCATAGAGTTACCTTATTTGAATGTCCGAAACAAGCATTAGAATGTACATAGGAGGGTCATACTAGCACTAACTAACTATATCTTTTCCCTTTAAGGATAACATGATAATTGTTTGCCCTTATTTGTCAAAACATAAGCCTTATAGCCTTATAATTAATTAATTCCATCGACATATAAATCCAATAGCCAATAGGGCTAGCTTTAATTTTCATTTTTGTTTTGATTTTTATAAGCTAAACAACCTATATTTTAATTAAATCTTTTTTCATTAGCAAGAATTCGTTTACCATTTAAGTCCAAATATTTGGTTCAATTCATTTAATTTAGTTAGTCTTTTAGATCAAATAATGTAATATCCTGATTGATTATAAATAAACGAGAATGAATTTTCTTTTGGTCTTAAACTACAGTTATTTTAGAATTAATTCAAACTCATATGACTAGCCGTTAAAATGAAAGAAATTTCTTTTTTCATCTTTATGGTGTGAAAATTCAAAATTACTCTCAAATATTTTCGAAGATATATCTTCAAACGCATCTTAAATCATTTTATCTTTCGTAAATCAAACAACCATTCCATTTTTATTAAAAATTGGTCTAGAGATGCATTTGCAAAAATTTCTTGAGTGAATTCGAAGATGTATCTTCGAAAAAAGCCTATTTCAGATATGCATCTTCGAAAACGTCTATTTTAAATATGCATCTCCGAAAACTTACCTGCATGCATATTAGACAGAAACATTGTCCTAAGTTTGTATTTTTTTAATTCTAAATCATTTTAATCTGACTAACAGTGGTATGAATTGATTCAAACATCAATAAACACGCAAAATCATAGAACAAGACAATGCATTAAATAAAAAAAACATCCCTTAATATTACAAATAATATTCTCAAAGTATGAAAAATAATACAAAAACATCCCAAAATACTAAAAACATAACCTATTGTGTATGCCTAATCCTAACCTCTAGCTCCATTTGGATCGTCTCGTCTGCCATATTCTCTAACTTTTAGAGTCAATTAGACACAATCAAAAGATCAGCTCTTGATGCCAATCGTTGAGTGAGAATATAGAGTAATGAAACCGTCTAGATGGGAGAGAATAAACCCTTTTAAAAACAATACAAAATTATAAAATTCAAAATTCAATCGATTCTATAAAATGGTTTATCAAAGGTTTTTCAAAATTGCGCGTGGAAGGTTTAAAGCGAAAATATAAAGATTATACTTTTGTTGGAACTTGATCATGTTAACACTTAATCAATTCATAAAAATCAAAGATGGTTTTATGATGACTGTAATACGGTGAGAGGACTGACTTGGGATGTTTTCCGTTTTATCGCAAATGTTGCGGTTTGAAAGAGTCGCCACCGACTTTTCTTTTATCCAAAAGGAAAGGTGGAAAAGAGCAGGAAAGACCTTTGAGATTATTTCTTGAGTTCGGGGGGTAGATTATGAAAAGGGAAGGTATTAGTACCCTTTTCATCCATAATTATGTATGTGCTCTTAGTTGCTTGGTAAATCACTTGCTTTTGTTTGAAAATGTGCTTTGTGGTAGTTTTGAAAGTATTTTGAAAAGGCGCCTTCATTTAGGCAAATTTTGTAATGGTTCTCGTTCGTAAGAACGTATACAAAGTGTTGGACTTTTGAAAATATTTTATGTTTTGAAAGTTTGTTTTTGAAAGTATTTGGTGTTTATTTTGAAAATAAGCAAGGATGTTTATTTTGAAAGTGAGCAAGCAACTAGGAACAATTTACCTACTCAAAAGTCTTTTGTTTATTTCTTCCTTCCTTTGATATTGCTATCTTTCCATTGATTTGGTAAGAAGCCTTATCTTTGGATGTAAAGGGAGGGGCGTGGGTCATCGTATAGTCATGATGGCAATGTTGTGAGATATCTTAGCATTTCTTTTTGAGGGACTAAGACCATTTTGAAAGGCAATATTTGTAGCGCCGTCGAGGGACTATGATATTGTATTTTTTTTATTGTTTTTGCTAAGACATCTCACATGCATAACATGACCATTTTTGTAAGGAAACAAAGTGGAGTTAACCTTAGGGGTGCAAGTGTGCAAATGTGTTGTATTTCATGCTTGATTTATCTTGAATTAGGGTTTGCTACTTGTTGATTTTATCTTTCCATACAAATCCTAATTACTAGCATTTATATGAAAGCGATAAATTGCAGAAAGTAAAATTATTACGTTATTACATCATTAGGGGAGGGGGTATACAAATTTACAAATGAGGATTGCAAGAAAATTAAACATAATTGTCTATTACAACCATATTGAATAATGTACAAGTAATTGAATAAATGTGCAAGAAAATAAATGGAAAGGAAATGATTTTTTTGTTTGGTTTTTGTTAAGGGTTTAGTTTTGACCTAATTAAGAAAAAAGGGAAAAATAATTAATTAAAGATAAATAAAATTAAACCTAAATTAATTAAGAAAAGAAAATAAGTTTGAAGCATTTTTAAGTTTTTTTTATGAAAAGGTTTAAACTTAATAAAAATAATATGATAATTAATTAATTAAAAGAAACTAAAACTTAAATCTAATTATTATTTATTAAGAAAAAGAAATTAAATTTGTTAAGAAAATGCTTTTTGTCTTTTGTCTTTATAGAGAAAATAAATAAATAAGTGTGAAAATAATAAATAAAAATATTTTTGGATTTTTATTATTATTAATAATAATAATAATAATAATAATAATAATAATAATAATAATAATAATAATAATAATAATAATAATAATAGTAATACAAAATAATAAAGAAAAATGAAATAAAATAAAATAAGAAAAAGAAAATAAATTAAAATGAAATGATAAAAAAATGTTTGGACTAGTATGCAAAAATAAATGGAGGGGTTAGAAGTTAGCAAAAATGGCAAGGCCCACTATTGGAGGCCCATGCGCGCCTGTTTGTGCAAAAAGGGAGGAAAATGTGAAAAGTGGCAGCACTGGGGCTTGAACCCACGCCCTAGACATAAAACGCGTGATGCCTTGCCACTGGGGTGGTTGTACATCCGTTAACATAAGTGAAATGATGAATACATAACATAAAAACAAGTCCTGAAAATGACTTCATCTTCAACCTCCAGCCATGGTTCCTGTAACTTGCTCATTTCTCAATAAAAATGTAAGATGTAAACATGAAAGTTACTCCATTTTTCCATACGAATCCAACCATATAAATATCATAAGCTATAAATCAAAGATGAATGAGAATTTCTAAAAGTACCAAATTCTGACCTAACTTTTTTCAGAGATTCAAACCTAAAATTCTCTAAGCTCAATCAATATAAATGAAATCTATGGACATGTACAATTTTAGGGCAATGATATCTACATTTTATCTTCACAAATGCAAGCTTAACAATGCCTAATTGAAAAGATAGAAGTTCATAAAAGATACCTCAAAACTGGAAATCATGAAATGCAAATGAGCTTGATTCAAGGTGCTGCAATGATCAGGTTAGCTTCCTTAAGTTCCCAGGAAGCTAATGCAATGATTAGCTTGAGCAATGGATGGCTGGAATGGCCTGGAGAAGTCCAGTTGCAGAGCTCTATTTTTGAGTTTGGAAGATGATGAAGATGGAGTTACAGCTATGAAACAGAGATGGAGATGGACTATATTTGATGTATAGAAGCTTTGTGATTGATTAGGAATGAAAATGCATGAGGGAAATGTCATTTTTGGTTTCAAAGTCAAAATGTGCACATAAATGGAGTTTTGATGCAAGCTATGATTTGAGGGAGTTTGGGAGAATTTCAGGGTGCTTAAGCCCGTGTGTTATCTCACAAATAGTGCCTCTATTTATAAGCAACAAGTTTTGAGATTTGTAGTTGATCAGAATTCAAAATCAAATGTTTAAGCTCAACATGTGATTTTCTTGAAAAATCAAATTTCAATTCTTTGTACTTGCTATTGTAGAGTGGTTAAACTTTAAACAAGCTTGCTTATGACTTTGTAGATGGATTTTGATCATAGGGAACAAGTGAGAGGCTCAAGAATTGACTTTGTGCATAAAACTTGCTTTTCAAGAATGGCAATGTTAGCTTTCTTCACAAAATGGCAAATGGACTTGGACAATGCTTAAACCACTTGGATTATAGCTCAAAAGCTTGTGTAATCCATTAATTATGGATAGATACACAAGTTAGAAGGCCTGCAAAGTAAGATTATGCAGCCTAACGTTGAGATTGTATTATGTGTTCATCAAGAAATGGCTTGTAATTCAAGTTTGAAACCCTAACTTCTTGCCTTCGATTATCTTAGCTCAAGTATGATATTAATGAGTTCTTAGATATTTTGGAAAGCTTGTAACATCCTC